TATCAGCCATCAAGACTAAATCATCTGCATACAAAATCTCAAATAACAACCCCTCCATTATGTTTCCACACACAACATCCATCACAATTGCAAACAGAAACGGTGATAACACTGATCCTTGATGCACTCCTACCTTAACACTAAAAGCGTCCGACATCCCCCTTCCAACCCTCACCTTTGTCTTTGCTCCTTCATACAGCTGCATCACAGCTTTAACAAGTCTCTCATTCACTCCTTTCTTCCTCAACGCCCATTCAATGACCTTCCTCGGTACTCGATCAAAAGCCTTTTCTAGATCCACAAAACACATGTACAATCTTCGTTTCTTCTTTCTATAATTCTCCTGCAACATTCTCACCATGAACAACGCATCCACCGTTCCCCTACCTGGCATAAACCCACACTGCATTTCATTAACTGTCACCATACTTCTCAACCTCCTCTCAAGCACCCTCTCTACTACCTTCATTCCGTGCTCTAGTAATTTCACACCCCTATATGACCCACAATCTCTCACATCTCCTTTGCCCTTATACAACGGCACCAAAACACTGTGTCGCCAATCCTCAGGTATACCTTCATCATCAAACATACTGTTAGCAATTCTCATCATAACTTCAATTCTTATCACCTCACTCGCTTTTATATGTTCTGCCGCCACTTCCGAAACCCCTGTCGCCTTACCTAGTTTCATTTCTCTAACTGCTTTCTCTACTTCCTCCATCTTCACCTTCTCTATAGGTCCGTGTGTGACCGCGGATTCCACATCTCCATCCCACTCATTCTCTTCATTCATCAACCTTTCCATATGAGCTTTTTACACCTGAGCTTTTTCCTCCTCATCTATGCACAACTTGCCAGATCCATCCCAAACACATCCATTCCCTATAACATCATTCCTATCCCTCATTGACTGCTTTGCTACTTTGAACATTTTCCTCGAACTCACATCAAATTCCATTTCCTTCATTAACCTATCTGAGGCTTTCGTCATTGCAGTTGCCACTGCCTGTTTTGCAACCTTCTTAGCCTTCCTATACTCAGACTCCGCTTCCTCCGTCATGTCCCTTCTCCATACCCTAAACCTCTCCTTCTTGACTTCCAAAACCCTTCTTATATCTTCATCCCACCACCACGTCTCACCATGCCTACACTTTCCTTTCGTCCATCCACATACTTTATCTGCCGTAGCCAACACAAAGTCCCTGTATCTCTCCCAAACATCTCCATCCTTGCCACTCTCCCAATTTTCAGCCACCTTCACTTCAAATGCCTTCCTCACCTCTGCATCCTGCAACTTCCATGTCTTTCTCTTTGCCACAAACTTATCCTTCTTCCTCCTCCCCATTTCTTTTGATGTCACATCCATCACAACCATACTATGCTGCAACATACCAGGTATCGCCTTCACATTCTTCACATACTTCCTATGTTTGGCCCTTACCAATATATAGTCTATCATCGATCTATGTTCCCCTGACCTATAAGTAATCAATCGCGCTGGTTCCCTTGTGAACCAAGTATTTCCCACCACCATGCTATGTGCATCCGCCAACTCCAACACTCTACGCCCTTCCTCATTCCGTATACCATATCCCCTTCCCCCATGTACACCTTCATATCCGTCTGCATCCGCCCCCACATGACCATTCAAATCACCCAACAACACCACAAACTCATTTAACCCCGCTTGCCCAATCTCGTCAGAAACATCATAAAACCTATCTTTCTCCTCTTCCTTCCTACTTTGTTGCGGAGCATATCCTGATATCACCCTCACTATTACTTTTCCAAACACCATCACCACCACAATTACACCATTGCTTCTCCGCCTCACTTCCAACACCTTCTCCACCAACTCTTCTCTTACCATCACACCAACTCCTCCCATACCATCATCCCCCTTCCACCACAACTTATATCTTCCACCTTTAGCCCCCACAAACCTTGTACCCTCACCCTTCCATCTGATCTCCTGTAATGCAGCCACGTCAACCATTCTCCTCTGCAGCTCCTCCACCACTTCCAAACTTCTTCCTGTCAACGTGCCTACATTTCAGGTACCAAACCTCCAACCCCTTGGTCTACAAGTAGTCCTTCCATCTATAGTGCCTTGCACCGCCACACTATAGAGTGGGGTGCCAGTAGCCAGACCATCCACAGGGCCTTGCACCACAACCCCATGGACTGGGTCTCCGGAGATTCTTCGCACCCTCTTCTGCCGGTACTGAGGGCCATTGTTATTTCCGTCATCATAAGTATTATTTTTTGGCTAGTTTTTACGCAGGACGCCCTTCCTTACGCAACCACAGTTATAAGCGGTGGGCTTAGCCTTTGATGATCCAACATCACTCACAAGGCAGTGAGGGTCAGTTTAATGTCATAACCAGGACATAATGAGTTCAATGATATTATCATCAAATATTTTTTCAAATGTTTCCAACATGGAGCAAGACTTCAATTCTTCGTTTAAATTAATAAACATTTTATCAGCGTTACTTCTAGAAAAACCAAATTTATATTTTGGTGACTTTTTTTGCCATTTGGGAGTTTCAGCACATATTCGCTTTGAAGGTGGTATGTCGTGTCCAGAAGTAGATGAATGTTTTGCTAAGGAGACTGTATCTTCTTCATCGGATGGTACATCTAGTTCCATAGTTTCAGCAATGTCAGCAACTATAGGTGTCCCTAACTCCTCATCATTTATAGTTTCCTCATCGGTTATTTTGTCTACTTTGGGCGGTAAAGCCGGAATATCAGCTTCTATTTCTTCAGAAAACGCATGCTCAATCGCTTCTTCAAGATTTAAAAAGTTTTTTCGTCTCATAATTCAAAAACTGCATTGAAATAATGCAAAACCAAATTTAAAAAAAAGCTTCAAAGGCCCAGTGTACTCAACTGAGGACAGTAAACTAAAGGTTTTTTTTAAATATTCAATTAATAATTTTGCATTCTATTGTAAGTATAAAATAGGATTATAGACTTCATGAAGAAAACAAAACATTTTGCTTACTTCTTTAAAAAACGGCGAAAAAAGATTGAAAGTTTACAAACGCTAAAAAACAAAAGTGAAAACAAGTTAGGAGTAGTGCTGTGCGAAAAATTTTAATATGATGAAAATGATTTCACATCCATGTAAAAAAGATAACATTCATGTTACTTTTTTAATAAAATTAAAAGTCATAAAACTGAGTAACAGAGTTTTACAACAATTTTACCAAGTGTCCTCAAAAAAGAACGCTGAACGCTAATGGGTTAAATTACAGTTCGTTACCTGGCATTGTAATTGAGGAGTTAAAAATATGAGGGTTTGTAATTGTAATGAATGTACATTTTAAAGAATTTAGGCATATTAATATCTATGCTGCGGATGTTTGAAAACGACTTTTGTTAATCAAGTCCTCAGTTTATTATGTTAAACCGATGATGTTATATCTAATGATTTCACTCAATTATTGTTTAAACTTGTTAGATGATGTTTGGTGCTTCTAATCATTAGTTATCAGCATTTAATGATGTTGTTCTGAACATGCACGAAACCCAACTAGCTATCAGGGCAGTGATCAGGTGGGTAAAATGGGCTACGAGAAGGAGTTTGAAAGGCTGTTGTTGTCGCTAGCAAATGATATCGACAGAAGAATTAAAAGAGGAGAGCAGAGGTTGGCTTCCAATAACAAACACAAAGCAGTAAGTTTCTTATTTTCATTTGATATAACCGACTGGCATTAAATCAAATACCATTGACTTTCCAGTCTATAACGTTAATCATGTTCTCTTTTGCTAGGTTAGATTATTACGCCCTTTTCAACTTTTCAATTGAAAACTATAATATATTAACTGATTAAATGCCTGAAGTGAGTTTACAGGCAAATGTTTCACAATAAACCAGAAATGTTTTTTTAAAACTCGTATTTTAAATTATTTCTTATAACTTTTGGTAATTAATCTGTGTTATTTTCAATTGTTCAATATTTTCTCCCAAAGCAACCATTTATGACCCCTTCGACATCCATGCGTCAACAGAAAATTAATGAATTAACTGATTCCATCAATAAGTTGGTGGCTGAGGTGAGATTTTTTGTGTTTGCAGTTTCACTTCATTTCAGCTAGGGAGTCATTATATTATTACATAATTTCCATTTCAATATTTTGAAGTGAGATGTATTGAAATGAGGTCGATGATGAAATGACAAAATTAACAAATTTTATTTTTTTCAAGACATTTTTAGGCTGAGAATTACAGAAAAAATTTAATTTAAACTGTGTGAAGTTTTTAATAAAATTCCATGAACCATGTGGATTTGCTATTTTTAGAAGCTCATTTATTACGTAGTTCATGTTGATGCTATAAATAACTTTGAAATTAAATGGACCGCAGGCAGAAACATTGGGGTGTGAAGGAAAGGTGGATGAGGCGAAGGAAGTGATGGAGAGGTGTGACAAGATGAAAATGGAGAAGAACTCCTTGGCAGTTGTGCGTTCATGTTTTTTTACATTTATTTTCACAAGATAATCTCAAAAATATGTTAGCGCGAAAAGTTATGGATTGTTACCATATGTGATAATTTTGATATTCCGCTTTCTTATGTTTCTAATTTGTATTGATTCAGTTGTGTTATTTACATTTGAAAGTTTTTTGCAATAGTAAATCCAGTAGAGGCAACTCGTTCCTTGTGTTCTTCAGATCCACACTATCATGATAGAACACTGTTTTTTATCCTATTTCTTCTTTTATCTGTATTGGATCATATGTATGACAGGATTTGAGTCTCGAACAGACGCCATTTGCACCAGGCCATCACTTAATAACAGCGCTAGACGTGGCACTTTACTGACTGACTGGCGAACCAATCTTGAATTTTCTTTATCTATGCATTTACGTTTTCTTTCTTCTGACTTAATCTCTTCCGTTTCGTCATATGGTCTGTTATTAAGATTATTATCTGAAATATTTTAACTTTGTTTCCACCCACTATTCAACTTCTTTCCAATCTTATTTGGACTTCTGATAGATTTAAACTTCACGTCCATCCAACAATTGAAATGTCCATCTTGCAATGATACGAACAGCTTCTCAGTGAAAACCCCGCAAGTTAGTAAGTGACGTTAATGTTGATCAGTGTGTGATGCCTAACACGATCAGATACAAGCGAGGGAGCAGCATGCGACCGACCAGGAAATGAACAAGGTGATGGAGGTTTGCAACATTTGTGGGGCATTACTAGTCGTCGGAGACCCTCAGCAAAGGCAGGACGAACATATCACAGGCAAGCTGCACATGGGCTATGCAAAGATCAAGGCTTATTTGAAAGAGAAGAACGTAAAGCTTTCATCGGAATTGATGAAAATGGACGTTTCATCTGCCAGTGCATTTTATAGGGTTTGTTAAGTTACGCTTTGTGACAATTCGTAATATTGAATTAATTTGTTTATTTTTTTATTTCATCTGGTGTGAGATTTATTTATGTTAATTTTACTGCGCGGTGCTAAGTATAGTAATGATCCCTTTTAATGAATGGTTGAAAAGAACGAAGTCCCTTCTGGGTTATATGACATTTTCTTCTTCAGGTCCTTTCTAGCTGCATCATTCGATGACAGTTGTTTTTGGCTTTCCTGTTTATGTACCTACATTATTTTTTGTTTTTTTTTTTCAAATATAACATTTCCACGTCGTTCATGTTGAATAAATTTTTTATTAGTCTCCTTCGATTTGCTATGTTCACAGGACATCTTCTTATCTCCTCACCACTTTCCCAACTGACACTTAAAAAAATTATACAATTAATTTATTACTTTTCTTCTGGAGGCCTTTCCGGAAATACTTTTATTAATCAATTTGCATTTTTTTTACAATGTCTGTTGATATTCTTGCCACAGTGATTCCCCTGTTTAACACAATCAATGCCAGGAACATTTCCAACATTTAAATCTGATTGTTGCTGTTGTTGTGAACAAGCATTGTTACTATCGATAGATGGTATGGTATGGTATGGTATGGAGAATTTATATAGCGCCCCTCTATGTAAAACTCAGAGGCGCTGTTCGAGAAGCTGCTGGTCAAAAAAGTGATGTTTAAGTCGTTTTCGGAACATGTCTCTTTCATCCATACTATCAACGACATCATCGGGCAGTTTATTCCAAACCTCCGCTGCAGCCACGGAGAAACGACGCCGTCCATAATTTTCTGTCCTGAACCTAGGAACAACGAGTTTCTTTTTGGCAGAGGATCTGAGTTTTCGCCCCCCGGCAGCCGTAGGGACAGGCACGATCAGCTGTTGAAGGTATCGAGGACCAAGCCCCATCAAACTGTCTCTTGTAAACATTGCTATTCTGAACTCGATTCTATAACAAACTGGCGCTCATTTCGCATATATGATGAAACAGATTCATATTTTGTTACACCAGCAATTATTCTTGCTGCAGTGTTCATAATAGACTGTATGCAGTTTTGAAGATACAAGCTTGTACCATAGAGGATTGAACTGCAGTAATCTATTTTTCTACAAATGAAACTGTGCATCAATGAAATTAAGCATTCATTTGTCAAGTACTTTTTTATACGTCTGATTTGGATAACTTAACTAAAATTCGGAAACCACTAAATGTACAGACCACATTTTTTAATCTGCCCTAAAGTCGTGTGTGCAGCACTGCAAGGCAGAACAAAACATCTGCCTGACCGTTAGCAGTTTCACAGCATTAAAATTGAATACTTTTGCACTGACGAAACTAACTAACAACATTGGCAAAGTAAATCCAACCAAATCATTAATTTTTCTCCTTTCCTTATGGTTTGTTATTAGTTGGCCATCTTGTTTGAAGGCAAATAGTTGGAAACGTACGGATGGGAAATTATTCGACTGATTGTCAGATCTTAAATTGAAATATTCTTAAAGGAACTGATCATTAATAAACGCACATTTGAACAAATAAATAAACAAAACAAATAATACTATCAAAAAAGTGATAAAATCAAAATATGATGTGATTTGATCAAGGTTGATTTGTATTGTATTTGTATAAATTTATTTTACTGTTGTAGTGTGTTCTGTTCAGGAAGGGTTAGTTTAGTCAGTTGAGTTACTTGTGCATTTGATTTCATACGTTTTACATTAGCGATAGTTGTAGAAAATAATGTCTACTTTATTTAGACATCAAAAGATGGAAAAGCGTTTATTCAAAATTTTCATGAGAAAGTATTTTTAAAAAGAAACCATAAGATTAGCCTGCTAATTATCTCAGACAGGAGGGAAAACGGCCATGTGCGTGCTGATTTTATTCGAACGCTGCCTCTACGAAACTTGCTTCATGCCCATGATACGGTGCTTACTCTTACGTGCTCTACCATCCATTTCTTTTCCTGCGCCAGGCATGCTCTCAGCCTTCGTGACTGAAGCAGAACAGTAAGCAACCAAGTAAGAACGAGTTTCCTTTTCAAAAGTGAAAACAAATGTTTAACTTGGGCACACTGTTAAGGATACGCTGGATGTGTCAAGCCAATATTTAACAATAAATGAAAAAAAAATGTCCTTTTTGAGCATTATTTATTTTCAATGAATCCTTAGTGATTACTCGTGAATTTGAATTAAAATTAAATTCTCCAGTTTGTGGACTTAAATTAAAGAAATTATTTTTGATATTTTTTTACAATTTCCTGTCTTGAATTGTTTAAAAAATTATTAGCATCTATCAATTTGTTTTGTAGAATGAAACTTCTATTTTGTTATCAATTTGGATATATATTTATTTCATTTGGCATTATTTATTTGTCGCTATCACTTACTTGTCTGCTGCTGCAGTGTTTTTGTGTCACGTTGTCTTCGTTGGTCAAAGTATTGAATTGATTTAGGTTCATTGATATTTCATTCCAGGCAACAAAACTCAGTTGAGGTGACCCATAAATTATTTAAAATAAGTTTCACCGGCAGAAGTGAATCATTTGTCTTCATTCATTATTTAATTAACCTTTTTCAGACTTTCAAAATTATTAATTTTTTAATTTTTTTTACTTCTTTGTTAATTTTTTAAAATATTTATCCATTTTATTTGAAAATAACAATAAAAGACAAATTGTTAGAATTAAGTGGCAAATGAAATTTCGGTGCAATCGACTTAATGTTGCATGTCACCACCACCTCATACTTCGTTAAGTTCATCATCGCTTCCTGCTCTCTGACCTCTGCAGCTGCCCACCTACTTGTAAAATATGATGCATACGCTAAATAAGGAATGTTTGTTTGTTGCAGCCCTCCCCTTACACCAGCATCGACCTGTCCAGCGACCTCAAAAGATCGCCAAAGAGCAGATCCAGGGAAAGAAGTCACAGCTCGCAAAAGTTAAATTTTATTTTCCTTTCATTTTGTTTTTTTAATTACCATTTTAATGATTATATGTTACTCTAATTTTGCTTGTGATGCCTGTTTTGATATTTCCCTCCCTCATATATGTGTGAAATATATTTTAAAGGAAACATAGGAGTCATTCAAAGAGTCACAAATCAAAAGGTTCCTTGATTGTTTTAAATTTTTTTCTAATCATTCCACATTTTTGTTTTTTGTCTAAAAATACTGCCACAACAAATGATTTTTTTCACATTGAGTCTGACTAAAAGAAAATTATTGACCACGTTTGAACGTTGCTAGTAAATGTGCTTCAGAAGTTCTTTCACGTTGGCTAGGAGATATTAGCCTAGTTAGCCAAGTTATAACTTAATTTGGTTAACCATTTGTCCATACACTTTGGTAGCATTATTTTTTTTTAAATTAACTCTTATGAAATAAATTATAACAGAATTTAGTATGTCAATGCTGTTTGCAATTATATTCGTTTGTGAAATGTAATCTTGAAATTGAAGTATCCAACCCGTTTATTTGAATTGAGTTTCAGCCAGTTGCCAGTTAATATTAATTAGTATTCATGTAAGTAATTTTAAAATTTTATTTTAAATATATATATATATATATATATATATATATATATATATATATATATATATATATATATATATATTGGTAAGGGCCAAACATAGGAAGTATGTGAAGAATGTGAAGGCGATACCTGGTATGTTGCAGCATAGTATGGTTGTGATGGATGTGACATCAAAAGAAATGGGGAGGAGGAAGAAGGATAAGTTTGTGGCAAAGAGAAAGACATGGAAGTTGCAGGATGCAGAGGTGAGGAAGGCATTTGAAGTGAAGGTGGCTGAAAATTGGGAGAGTGGTAAGGATGGAGATGTTTGGGAGAGATACAGGGACTTTGTGTTGGCTACGGCAGATAAAGTATGTGGATGGACGAAAGGAAAGTGTAGGCATGGTGAGACGTGGTGGTGGGATGAAGATATAAGAAGGGTATGGCGGTCAAGAAGCAACCGGCAACCCCCGATCTTGGAGAAAATGTCGTCTAAACGTGTGTTGTTGTTGTCCACCACCTTAGTGAGATTCGCAAATTTATTTTCTAGTTATCGTCTGCTATCTAATGAATTTAAAAATGATATGGTTTTTAAATTATTTCGTAAGACTGCATCGAAAAGTTGTTTGTCCTTGTCCTACTTTACATCTGGTTTTTATTTCCAAAAATAAATTTGCCAATTATTTTAAATAAAAAAAAGTAATTTAATCAGCTTAATCTTGCAGATTTAAATAAACTTTATACATGTTCTCTTGTTATTTCATTATGAACCAAATCATTAATAACAAATTAGCTAAAGTTGTTAATTTCGATACGACAGGGCGCAAGCACCACCGCCATCATAAGCACCATCATCAACATCACCACCATCGGAGCCGTCGGGAGAAAACACCAGACAATTAATTTATCCTACCTTTAGTTTTGATTTCATTTTTTATTGTTTAATATTACCATTCAGAATAGACCGTCATAACTTTACCGTTGTACGTATTCCACGTTGTTTATCGTTGTCTTTGTGTTGTGTTATTGATTTAAAATGGCAAGATTGCGTTGGAACTTTTTTCTTAAAAAACTAATATTAAATTTTACTTAACGTTAAATTTAACTAAGTTTGTGCTTTTGTTTTGTTCTTTGTTTTAGGTAATTTTTGTTTAATTTTATCTTAATTGCATTTATGACGAGTCTATTAATTCAAAATCAGAAATTGAACGAGAAAAATCCTGTAAAAAATGCTGACAATCCTTTCAGAGCGCGAAGAAAAAAGTTGTTCAAAGTTGAAGTTTGATTAAATTCTTCTGCAGTTTTACGCCTTTGGTCTATGTTGGAAATCTTTTAAAAGCGGGACAATTTGATGTTGAAAATGTTTATTTCCTTATTGTATGACATTAGGCGTACTGTTTTCATTTAAAAAAAATTGAGTTCATATTTTCTGGATTTTGGTATTTTTTCCTGCTTTCATTATATGTTTGACATTCTATTAATAAGTGTTGAATTGATAGTTTTGCGTTACATTTTTCACAAATAGGTGGTCTTGTTTTGTTTAATATCCATGAATGGGTAATTTTGGAATGACCGATTTTTAATCTATTTATCATGTTTAGGTTATTTTGACTTAGCTCATCGAGTTTGCCATTTTTGGATTTATTGAATTCGGGCATAACTACTTTGAGAAAATTTGTCATCTTGTTCCATTCTTTTTGCCGTTTTTCATACATGAGGTCGTAAATTATCACTCTTATGTCGTGTTGTTTTATTGGAAGGATCGATGGAGGATCCTAGTTCGTTACCTTTAATTCCAATGTGGCTAGGAATTCAGATTAAGATTAGATTATTTTTGTTACTTAGTATTTCATGAAATTTGTGCTGCATCTGAACAATTGTTGAAGGTTGTACCGTCTCGATGCTACGAGGGTTGACAACGTATCCGCGTAAATCTTATAGTTTTTTCCTGTTGAGTTGTATGTGGAAGGTAATGCCATGTCTATGGCTATTATTTCTGCGGGGTAGGTTGAAGTGTAGCTTGGAAGATGTTGAGTACGACTGCTGATATATTGATGTTGCTGGTGGAATAGCACTGCTGCTTTTCTTGAATTTTCTTTTTTTTTGAGCCATCAGTGTATTTTTTAATAGAATTCCCATTACTATTGACTTTTTCTAAAATTGTTGCCAGTTCTTGGTCTTTGCTTACTCTTGTTATGGTGCATCGATTTCAGCACCAGAGATTAACTACGGAGGGGTTTGGTGCGCTTCTTCTTTCAAGATTTTTATTTTATTTTATTGATTAAATTCGGTAATAAAGTTTGATGGTAAAGGTAATCAAGATCTTGAAATCATTTTGTGAAAAGAACGAATATTTACAAAATAAAAACGTTTGGCCGTTTAGTTGTTATCCAGTTCATGTCGTGCTGGGAATTGAGATAAGCGTGTAGAAGAATTTAGACTTGGCCGGTTCGTATTAAAGTTAATATTTTCGATTTGTTTAATATTCACATTTGATCGAAGTTGTTGGCTTTGAGATCGTACGTTAAACATTTTTAATGGCTTTGGTTTAATTCAACGTTTGCAATAAATTCCATTCTCAGCAGCCTTAAAATAATTTTATTTCGTCTTATGCTCATGCAGTTCTTAGATTTCTTTAATATAATTGCAAATCATTGTTGATTTTATTCACTCAATATTTTGGTGGCATTTAAAGTGTTAGTTTTGAAAAAATTAAGGACGCTGAACGAACAAATTTTAAATTTTGGGAATGATGTTTCATCGTTTTTGCGTAGGATCTCATTCATTCATTCAGCCAGCCAGCCAGCCTAGCTGTTTGCATGGCGCCGTGCTGATAAGAAGGAGCATGTTCCTTTGATGGATTCCTGTGTTACTCTGTATTATTCAAACGTTTTCGATGAATTTCCTATGTCTGTTTTATTTATTTTTTTAAGGATGCTGCTCTATAGTGTCTCAAAAATTTCGTTTTAAATAGTATCATACAATGTTGAAGTTGAATGTGCGAAATTACGAAATTAATTGTTTCGCAAATGAATGTGTTCCAATTCAATCGTTTTGCTATAATATTTTTTATTTTTGAAGCAAGTAGTAGAGAAGACATCAAACATATTTGGTAAAATATTCTGATATTAAGAAATCGTAGCACTGCATTGAGGCTTGCTTTTCTGCAAAAATCTGGTAAGGCTTGATTCATCTTTCGTTTAAAATAGGTAAATTATATTGAAAAAACAAACTTTCATCAGCAAAAACATGTTCCTTTTTTTCATTACATTACATTGAACAGAGCATTCTCAAAAACATCGATAACTGGAAAGTGAATGAAAATGAAAACATCAAACATGACCCGCTCAATATTATTTTATGTTTGTACTGTGATTTATGTCCTGAGGTTATATTGACGTTGCGTCACCACTAACATAAATATTCACCAACCTGCAAGTATGTAACTCATATTGAGAGAAGGCATAACACGTATAACAATAAACAACATTACACCATGGATTCGTCCTGTACATTCATCCTCATATACACAATCATTGACAAATGCGTTATTGTAAAGATTTGTTTGTATGTACGAACGTAACTTTAGGCTGACAATTTAGACTAAAATGAAAAATATTTTCAGTCATTGAATCATACGACGCCTTGTTAAACATTAGTTTTGTGTTGTTAAGTTCGAGTCGAATCAATGTTAGTCAACTTGCAAGCTCTGAACTGTTTTTGAGACTACCACTCAACGTTTATTGCTATTTATAATGATATAACATAAAATTTTGATAGTGATCCAAAATGACTGAGTCTGTGACTCTGAGACTTTTGTTGAACAAATAACCAATGAAATCAGTTTTCTCTTCAAATCGATTTATATATTATGATTATATAGTTGGTCGTTGGTTCTTACGTTGTTGTCAAGGTATGTATAGTCTATCGAATTTCACTGAATCGTGATTAATAGTGACCCCTGTTCTAGCAAATAATAATTATATATATGCAAATTTCTACGCAAATATTTTCTTTTTGTTGGCATGATTCAAATGAAATCAAAAGATTAATTTCTTATAAATTAGATAAATTTTTTAACATTATCGCTCGACACTGTTGGACGTTTATCAGCTTTGCGGCTTGGTTCGTCTCAGCTAGGATCGACTCGGTTAGAAATTCGGACTTGGATTTTATCGGTTCGGCTCGGATGGCTGGTATAATTCAATATATCAATTCAATCAATCGCAACAAGTTGTTTTGAGCAATTGGTTTGACGCCGGTACTTCTCCTTTTGGCGTTCCTCAAGGTCCTACGTTTTGATATCCTACAAAATATGTGTTTAAATATCATAGCAAATAATTTTAATTAATTTTGTTGGCGGTTTGTTCGATAGGCTCTTCTGTTGTCTTAAAGATAATATTTAGGTAATGTATAAACAATTAAAATTGAAACAAAAAACCCGGACACATTGGTTCCCGGTTACAGTATCCGAAATCAAAGCAAAACAAGCTGTCGTCTGTAACGATGGCTGCCATATAAACTTTTGTAAATTTGTAATTTAAGCTTAATCTTAGAATCATACTTAACGTGAATGTTACTTTGGATGAACGTAAAAAACTTTTATAATAACTTAACAGCCAAATGCATTACCTACCATTAACATTTTTCATTGTGAAATATAAAAATTTAATAAATCACCCCTCTAAAGCACTCATTTGTTTATTCTAGATTTGACTGCTGCAGCAGTTTCTTCTATGATTAGTTCAAAAAATTTATTTTCAGGCTGCAGTCAATTCGGAGTCGTCTTGCAAAACTTATCTCCTGAAATTTGAAGTTTGATCAGATCAAGCCTTTATAAAGGATTTGCGGCATGATGACTTTGTGGTTGAAGGCACCTGGTTCTGTTTGGCAGTGCGTGCAGTGGCCAGGCTCTAACATGAGAAAGGATTCTTTGCGTGTGATGCGTCGTTTGGCACGTATTCATGCATACTGTTAATGTGCCGCTGATTCTTATGAATTTGGGAAGAGCCTTTTAGACCTTTATATTTTTCTTGGTGTTGAAAAAAGCATTTTTTTAAATTTTACAACCGATCTTTAACTGCGTAAGTGTATTGATTCGAAGCGACGCCAACCTTGACTAATTCGACTATGACGATTGTTTAAATCGTCATGATGAAGATGATGAAAATAATTTTAGGAATGTGAGCACCGTCAGGAAATATATTTGATGATGATGACAAAAACGATTCTGCATATAGACACGACACGACACAAAATGTTGTGAGAATGTTCTCAGGAAAGGGAAGCAGTAAGTTGTACGACGAACTAAAAAGAAAAAAGCTGAATCTGTTGTTGCTGTTGTTGTTGTATACATTTTTCTGTTCTTGTTGTTTTTGTTGTCGTTGATGTTTTTTTTACTAATCTAACAATTTTCTGATGTTGTTGTGGCTGATAATTTCAAGTTGTTATTAATGTTGTTGTGTGTATATATAACATATGAATTATCCTATATAATATATGTAACATATAATGTTGTTGTGTATATAACATATGAATTTTCCTATATAATATATGTAACATATAAAGATATGCAATATATGTAGGATAAATCTATATAACATATGTAATGTGTAGCATAAAAGAAATAAAAGTGTGTATGTTGAACGCGTGTCTTTCCTCAATAGCACTTTCTAATTTAATTTATAATTGCGTTTGTCATGTTCGCAAACAAAAAGATGTTTATATGTGGCGACACGACTAGGAATGTTAGCCATTAGAAGTATGTTGTGACTGAGTTAAACCACGTGTCCCAACCGACTGCTTCGTTGGTCGTCGGCATTTAAGATTTCAATTGCGCATCTCACAGATTGCCAAACTGATTTTCTTTCTTGGAGGCACTTCTACAAAAATGCGTGAGAATAAACTTGTTACGCAGAACAATTTTTCAGGAATTTTTTGATCAAAATTAAATATTTATGTTAATTGCCTGCAAAATAATTTTAGCAATCATAAAAATATCCGAAAATAGAATGAGTAGGTCGATTTGGGTTACTGTCAAATGATAGAAGATAATGGATTGCAAAAACTTTGTAGGACCAGAATTACCTTACCCACCTGAAAAAATCGTCTTGATGATTCTTTACTGAGCACTGTTGTTGTAGTAGCAATATTCTAACAATAAGAATGCAAAA